CTGGATACCAGTCAAAATTTCAAGACCATCAGTAACTATTCAACCAAATGAAATTCTAAACACAGAAATTATTTTATTACTGAAATATCAATTTAACCCAAAGTTATCTTATTAGATAATTACAAAAGGAAAGGAAAGTTGAAATGAAAAGTTTTGCTATTAAAACAAAACAAGAAAGCTGAAACAAATTGCTTCCAAATTTCTCATCTAACATTTTGTAAAAATTGCCCCATTCCCATAAAACATTTCATTTTCTCAAAGCAGCGTTTCCTGACAGAAGACGGTTTTGTTAAAAAAAAGTTTCAACTAGCTCTAAAAATAACTATAGATGTGAATTCCAACTGATTTATTATTTCAGTAGCAGTTTGTGTGTGGACTGGATTGCATGTGTGTGTGTGTGTATGTGCGTTCACATGCTCATACTTGCTTATTGGAGATGCTAAATTGCAATTATGGACCATAAAATAGGAATCAAAATTCTTTAGCTACAGCACTAAATATAGCCCTGAATCAGTTTAGGAACAAACCTGAGTGAACATCAATATGGGGCCAGAAGTATTTCATACAATAAATACCCTGGCACTTCACATGAACCAGGGGCTGTCAGTGTGAAGATAGAAAGCAAACAAGAGAAGATTCTTCTCTGACATGCCAAGTGTCCTAAGGAATCAAAGTAGGAATGAGAAAAAAAAGCCCTCTCTAGAAATATGAGGTTGTTCTTTCATTGCAAAAATAATCCCGGGACACCAATTAACATACTATATATTGTATTTAAATATAATGGTCTCTCTGGCCTTAGCAATTCTTGGTTTTAATTACACCACCTGAGTCTTGGATTGTGCTGAAGTTAAAGCAGATAAGAAAATGCTGCCAATATTTTTATTGGACACAATTTGGCTTTTTTAACTAAGAGGAAACTGCCAGACACAAAAATAAGTTTTTGTCCAAAACAGAGATATTCTTTTTTATTGAAGCATAAAACTGGCAACTGTAAATGGAATTTTTTTCTGGGTTTAAGTGGAACATTTTGGTTTTCATTTGCCAAAACGGAATATATGTTCATATACATACATACTAGTTTGGGGGTTTTAGTTTTTCAATGAAAATCTGTTTCTCTCCCCACCGCCGATTTCTGGGCAGCTCAGGTAGGATGTTCTGGCTCTACACTGACACTGCATCGACCTAACTACATCAACATTGACTCTACGCCTCCGGCAGAGGTGAAGTTATTAAGTTGGCATAACGGGCAACTTACATCAGCGGGAGCGAAGTTTTACATCAGCGGGAGCAAAGTAGATAGGTGGACGTGAGCTGCCTTCTCTCAACTTAACTCTGCAGTGTAGACCGGGTTCCAAAAAGTTTTAGAAAGTGCTGGAAACAATCTTCGACATACACTCTGATGTCCTATAAATAAGAATCACCCAAGTTCAGGGTCCACATAAATCCTTTAACTCCAAACCTTAAGAAGTTACTAAATAGAAAGGACATTCACATCATCCAAATCAGTAACAGTACGGCCCAGTCCAAGGAACAACTAACTGGATGATCTAGTTCATGATGGCAGCCCTGAAGTATCAATGACTCATGTGATTAGAGGTAGGATTTAGGTTTTTCTTGTATTAATGTCATTAGTTGTATTAATTCTGTTTGTCATTTACAGTTTTTAATTCCCAACTTTAAATCTCGTCTTGAAGCACTCTCTGTAGCTACATATGTGAGTGTTTCTAATGGAAGGTTAATCAGATAAGGTGTTACCATAATTAGTTGTTAGTTGAAGCTTTGCAATGTTAGTCTAAGAAAGACAATATAGAATTGTTAGCCAGCAGATTTTATATGGCCTACCAAGAAGAAAATATATCTAAAGTTCATGAGCCATTGGTGCAGCTGTTTAAAATTGGTTTGTACTTTATGATTGGCTATGCTACCTAACAAGTTATGGTTGGTACAATCTTTGTGGAGGTGCAGGTCAGGAATAGGACCTGGAGACTGGACTGCCCTTTGCACCATCCAGATGGGCTTCGCAGAATAGAACTGGCTTATTGGTCCTTCAGAAGGACCAATCGGCCGGTTGGAGATCGTTAGTGATAATGGGTGGAAATCATGAAATCAATGGGAGTTAGGCACATTTGAGGACCCTGCTAGGCACCTATCTGAACATTTAGGTGACTAAATGCCTTTAACACTTGACTGTTAGGCACTTTTCAACATTTCACTCCTCATCTCCTCCGTTGCCCAGCAGAGGTTTATGTCAGGACGTGTCATTGTTCCCCAGGACACCTTGTCAAGCATTCCGTGTGCCCATGTTTAAATCCTGCAGCTTGTGGCAAGGCTGTAACGTCAACCCAGGGATTCAGTTGTCAATAGGAAGTGGAGCAACCAGGCCACGTGGAGAATTCCCCGAGCACACCGTCCACTGGAAGTGCAGAGCTGTGATTATCCCCAGTTGGCATTGCAGGAATTCAGTAGAAAACCACTTGAGACTGGGCCAAATTCATCTAGTGTGAGTCCACTGGATTCCAGGGAGTTACACCAGGAATTGAAACATAGTGGGAGTCCTTTAGCTCATTTGAAAACCCCACCTTAAGTCGTCTGTTTTTCAAAAGAACACGTAGAAGCAGAGGCTGTGGCCAGATACATTTCCTCCACTCCCTGCTCCTGGCCAACCTCCTCTGCAGGAACCCCTTTTGTGGGTGACAGGAGAATCCATTCTACAAGGTCCATGGCTCCTCTCTCATTATCAGCAAGAGAAGAAACTAGTGAGTTTTGTTTGCACAATCCCCAGTCTCTTCTATCTGCATGAATAAGGGAGGGGACCAATGACATCCCATGGTTATTCTTGCTGAGGGCAGATAATGGAGCACTAAACCTTCTGGTCAATTTCTGTCTGTGCCGCAATCACAAGTAAAACTGATTGAAAATTCCTGTCCCCAATCTGTTTTTCCATGGAAAATTTGGTTTTCAACCAAAGGAATAATTTTGCAAAAAATGTCTGCTATCTGGGGAAAACAAACACTCCAACATTTTTTTGTCTGAAAACTGAAAACTTTCAGGTCTCCACTCTGAAATGAAGCCTCAGCATCTCATGGGAGCTGTACTTCAGTTGGATCATGATCATATTCTCCTTTATGGACTGGACTCCCTAGCCAGACTACATCCCGCATGATGCACGGCAGCCATGGAATTCCCATGATGCACCACAGTAGCTCAGGAAGAAGGAATCCCATGGTGTAGATGTTGTCCGGTGAGGAAACCTCTCCCAAAGAGAAGAATGTAGGGTTGTTCTTTTGTCATAAAGTCAAAATTTTCTTAAGAAAAACCACGTTTTCTTCCCAGACCTAGTCCAAAGGGGCTCATTGCTTAATGGACAGATTGTGGAGTTTGGTGGACGAGCTCCTATCTCCCCTGCAGTGGAGGAGATGGAGGTGGGATCAGCTTCTCTCCCCAGCCCCTTTTCCTTTCTCACTCCTTTCCCCTGAGGTGTGAAGATGTGTTAATGCAAAAGACTGGGTTTGGAGCTGGTTGGAAAATAGAATTTCTGTCTTG